TTGAGCTACAGACCATGTTTGGAAGCAGCAGCCACCAAAGGCCACCCATATCCCAGGAGAGGGAGCACCTCTTGTCCATGGGGAGCAAGCTTGGCACTCTGCAAGCCTCCCAAAACCAGCATACAAGTTCCTCTTTCTGCTCTGTCCTCCCTTCCTTCTTTCTTGCCTTCTCTCCTTCAGTCCTTTCCTCTTTCCCTTTCTTCCTCCCTCCCTTTTCCTATTTTTCTTGCCCCCTCTTCCTTCTGCCTGTCTTTCCCATTCTTTCTGTCCCCACTGAGACGCTTCCATCTAGTGGTATTGTGTTGTCTGAACGCTGGAGCAAAAGGGAGTGCCTTGCCAAAAAACCTCTTGTCTAGTATCAATACATTAACATTTCCCTAATGTTTGATTTCTTCAAAAAACCTCCTCAGTTCTTGATATCCTGCATATCAAAAATGTCAACACACTGGGCAGGGCCAGTAGCAGTGGTAGGAGATTTAAACATTATATAACCAAGATTAGCACTCTGTTGTTGAGACAGTCTGCTCCAGTATTGGCACGATCTGCACTGGAGTGCTTTGGTGCAATGTACTGGGGTGTTCCAGAGTTTGAGGATTCCAAGTTGAGAGACAGGTGAGACACAACGGATAAAAAAAGTAGTTTATTATCAGAGGGAAAGAGGGCTGGGAAAGAGCTAGGGAGGAAAAGGCAGGAAAGGGTTAAAGAAACAGTGGTCGATCTTGTTAGCAGTGTTTATCTTACCAACCCCAGAGACCACGTGGTGATGGTTAGGAAACCATCTCTGAGAGACATCATGGCAGTATGAGGTGACAGGCTCAACTGTCGACGTGGGTGGTATGACGGTCTACCTCCCTGCGCTGCATGAGGCTCAGGCTTTTATGCTAGCAAAAGGGCACACTCATTCCGACATAGGGGGGCAGCCTACATCGGAAGGAGTGGCCAGTTGTGGCTATTTGCTACCACTGCGCAGTTAGTACAAAAGGGTCTCTGTTTGGGGATTTTCAAAGTGGACTGAGGGACTTTTAGGGGATTTCAGGGAGGAGCCACCATGGACCGTTATCTCATGTGTCTTGCAACTGGTATAAGACTCCCTTTTAATAACAGCAGTGTTAACTCCCCTATTTTCAAGGTTATGTTCCCACAACCTGTGCCAAACAGTACTGTTCTATTTTCGTGTGTTTCACCACGGACCATTATCTATTGTCACTGACACATGGGGATTCTCCTGAACCAGGGGAACTCCAAGGCGCTGAGAAACCTACCAGGAGCCCTCATCACTTGTAACAGCAGATGACAAGACCTGGGCAGGGCCAGGAGCAATGGTGGCCAAGCCCCCCACCTATAAAATAACCCCCAGGGCAGCACTAGTGAGCAGGAACACTGCAAGCTGTGCACGTGAATTGAGCAGAGCTTGGCAGTTTGCGCAGGATGGTTGCTGTAGCTCTTTCAGCTTTGCCAGGGAGCAATGGCATCTATCTGAAGTAGCTTGTATCCCCTCTAAACTCTGCACCCACCGCAAATGATGCATTCTCCCAGGCAGAGCTCGGCGGGAACATGCTGCCACCCAGGTTCCAGGCTGCAGGCTGTGCCCTGCTCCTACACCAGCTGGTGCTGTAGAGCAACTCCTGCTTTGTGACAGAGCTCCGGGAGGAGGGAGTGTGGATTGGCTAAGGAACCGTGGACATTTTGTGACCAACCCAGACGTCTTAGCCTTAGGAGATGGTGGCTATGAAGAATACAGTTGAACAATGGACATGTGAGCCATCCCAGCTGTTTGGTCTTAGCCAAACTCTGAGTTAAGCTGTAAGGCCTGAACTCAAGTTACCCAGGCTGCAAGGCCTAACCTTAGGTTACTAAAGGACAGCTATGTGTGATAGAACAAGGAACTTGGTGTTTGCTCAAGGTTAACAAGATATAGAAGCAGGATGGGAAAACTATAAGATGTGTGCAAAAAGTAACAAATGAACAAGCTTTCAGCAAACCTATTATCTACTACGAAAATGTGTGGACAGCACTTTTGAGCCAATCAGAATCTATATTGGTTACATCAACTAGTCTTATAAACTATAAAAACTGCTGGGGTGTGTGAATAAATTTGGCAATCGCTTGATCATATTGATCGTCTCTGCGTTGTCCGTAACTCCTGTGTCAAGGGAGGGAGGTTGAGGAGTAGCAGAGAGTCTGAGGAGATTGACTATGGGAACCACACCCCATCATCACTGGGACAGGCCTGTCAGGCAAGAAAGGACATGATATGGATATCCTCTCTCCATCCAGCAGAGCGCAGTTACTTAAGTGGTAAGGGGCAATGGTTATAAGTTCCTGCCCAGCACAGTAGGTGCATCTCCTCTGTGGCTGCCTCATCTTCCCAGGTGCCCTGGTACAAGAGGTAAAAGGCTCTGCAAGTGGAACCAATTATGACAATGATGGTCCATCTAGGTTTGAGGTGTCACAAAGTTTAAGTGGGTATCTGGTAACCCATAAATTGGTTGTAACAAGATCTCAACAAAAGATTATTCATATACAGAAAAAACAGCAAGGCAGTCTGTCCTGGGTTCAGCAGTAGTAGTCATTTTTCTCCTTCTTGGTAGCTGGTGCAGTGCTGTGTTTTGATTTTTGGCCTGGGAACAGAGCTGGTAACAATGAAGTTTTGGTTTGGCCAAGGACTTTGTGAGTCTCATGCTCTGCCAGGGAAGAGGGGAAGCCAGGAGGAAGCAGAGACAGGACACCTGACCCAAACTGACCAAAGAGGTATTCCATACCACAGCACATCATGCCCAGGATGTAACTGAGAGTTACCCGGAAGGGCTAGGGACTGCAGGATTGGAGGAGGTATCGGTTGGTGCTTGGTCGGTCTGAGGTGGAGTGAGTTATCGGTTGGGTGGTGGTGAGGTGTCACATTCTCTTCCCTTGTTATTTCCTTTATTGTTATTATTATTGGTGGTAGCAGTAGTGATTTGTGTTATACCTACCTTAGTTACTAAACTGTTCTTCTCTCAACCTGTGGGAGTTGCATCTGTTTTGATTCTCCTCTCCGTCCCTCCGGGAGTAGGGAGAGGGAAAGAAGGGGGGGGAGTGAGTGAATGAGTTGCCTGACTGAGTTTAAACTACAACACAGTCCAGCTTTCAACATTTAAGAAAACACTATGAAAACTGAAGGGCTTCAGAATCTATATCCAGTAAAGCTTTCAGTCCAGCTATGACCGACACATGAGCTACCTGAGCTCTTCTGAAGAGGTCTAAAACAAACTCAAGTTAACTGATTTCCTGCCCATCACCAAGAATTTTGTAACAGTTCAAAGTGCAGTGGCTGTCAAATTTGGTGTTGTCCTGGGTTCAGATGTAGCAGGCATTTTTCTTTCTTAGTAGCCGGTGCAGTGCCGTTTTTTACTTTAATCTGGGAACAACGCTGGTAACACATCAATGTTTTTAGCTGTTGCTAAGTAATGCTTACTCTGATCAAGGACTTTTAGTCTCATGTTCTGCTAGTGAGGAGGGGCATGGGAAGCCAGGAGGTAGCAGAGACAGGACACCTGACCCAAGCTAGCCAAAGGGACATTCCGTAACACAGCACATCAAGCCCAGTATATAAACTGGGGGGGGAGTTACCCCGAAGGCTCAGATTGCTGCTCAGGGCAGCAACTTCTTGTCATAGGTAAAATTCCACCTGAAACAGTCTGTTAAATTCTCAGCTTTCAGTCACCTTGGTATGCACTACATAAATGTTCATTTTTCAGCAAGATTTATGCTGAAGAGCTAGTTAAGTAGCAGCAGTGAACAGCTAAGCATTGGCTCTTGCAGTATTGTACCATGTGAGTCATTGTCCAGAACAAAACCCCATTACAGAAAGATTATGCAAGACTTTGCAAAACAAAGGCTTTCATTCCCACCCACAGCCAGAATACCTGCTGTAGCACTGCCCAACAAGCCTTTAGAGCCTTGCTGACCTGTTTTAAGATGCTTTGATGCACTTTATTGTTAGAGATTAACAAAGACACATTTACCTTTTACTACCTCCTACACATACATGTTGCCCTGGTGGTATTGAGGTACATGGTGTACCACCAAAACCCACACTTCATATGCACTTCTGAGCCCTGGATGTATATGGATGTAGTACATGAAGTGTATTTTAACAGCTTCACCACCACTTGGAGACTCTCAGAAGGACCAGTAGAAAGCAGAGTGCATAGTGTGTTTGCTACATGTAACCAGAGCAGCAGGGAAAAGACCTTTGTTTAGAAACAGCCCAAGTAGGTAAAGCATTCAAAAATGCAATAAAGTACTGCCAGGTGCACTCCAATTTCACACCTGGCTGCAAGTTGCATGAGGCATCAGTCCATCAGTCTGGAAATCCCCCAGGGGACTTGCTTCTGGATCATGCTACCTACCTTTTACTGTCTACACCCAGCATAGTTAACACAGATCACTTTGTGCATCAGCTTATCTCACTGACCTCCCCAGACCATCTTGGCACCTTCTGTCCAAACTACAGCAGATCTTCAACCCCTTTGTGTTGGGCAGTATGTGTGCTCCAGACTTGGGAGCTTCTTTTTGCCCGACTCAATGACCCACTGAACAGTACTTTCGCAGGCCTTCCAGCCCCATGCTGTGAAAAAAAGGCCAAGACTGGAAGTGCCTCATTAACTACTGCCTCCTACAACAGCAGGCAGTCATTATTCAAGTTAGTCTCTTCAAGATAAAATTCTGACTCTCCATGCCAGAGCACAATGAAACTTGTGAAGCAAGCAAGGCAACTCCATGGGGCCAATACTCCATTTCTCTCCCAGCTGAGTTCTTTTGAGTAACACATACAAGCCTTTTTTAATTTCAGCACAGAGATAACAGTTCTTTTCAAGACAGAGGTACTATCAAATGAGAAGTGAAAAGACTGTTTTTAGTAAATCACTTCAATGCATATCATCAAGAAACACCGTGCGTAAATAAATGCATTTTCAGGAATCCTACATTTCACTAAGTAAAACATAGGTGGTGACAGATTTTCTGTATAAGACCATTTATTTTAACAAACAGATGAGTCTTTATGATGAACTGGAGGCCGCAACAGCTGCTCTCTTGGGCTTCGGGGTGGTTCCCTCACGGAATCCATTCCTACAAACAGAAATATGGTTACATTTTGAAAGGATAATTCCCGCTCCAAGTTATTTTCTTACAAGCAATATTTTGTATCAAGTTCACCAGCTTTTTTCAGGGATGCACTGAAATCACTGTGGAATTCCTATGTTCACTTTTAGTAAGAAACACCTTATTAATAAGTGTTTGGAATAAGCAATATATTATTCACTCCTTTCTGCTGAGGTAAACCTGAGTTCTTCAAATAGCAAGATTTCAGTAACTGAGTGAATACTGCAAGACTGCATCAGATACAGCACACCTGCTGAAAGCACACCTCACTTCATGCTCCTACTAAGCAATTCAACAAAATATTTCATGTTTGTGAAGTACAAGCAAACTTCTTACTGGAATACTCTATTTCTGCAACCAGACATTAGGACAGACATGACAAAAAGAAGCCTCAGCCCTAAGCTCTGTTTTGGATTTGACATTTCTATGTCACCAATGCCAGTGGAATGCAGGCTACAGCTGTACACTGCAACGTGCTTTCCGGCTGCTGCTGTGCAAGTCTAGGCTCACCAGCACAGACGAAATGATCTCCCAACTACACTCATGTCTCGGGCTTAAGAGGACTCCTACTTTTCCCTCCTAAAGCCAATCAACATTTTCACAACGAGACTCTTGAACTGGTATTTTTCACTCAGCTTTCTAAAGTATTAGGCCAGAAGCTATAGGCCTCAGTTTTAGAACATGGAGGTCATACAAAAGAATTTCTCAGCGAGTTTAACAGTACAGTATCTATCTCTACCACTACCTCAAAAGTACAACTCAAAGCTTTGTAACAAGTTTCAGAAACCTGTAAATCAGAGCCTGATACTTTACTTCCTTGCTAACCTGAAATAAGAGAGTAACTACTGAAGTTATTTCAGTCCTGAACTTTTTTTGTGGGCAAAAGAGAACTGGAATGCATTTCTGACTTGTGTTTTAGGAAACCTCCACACTTCAGTGTAACCAGCATACTGTCTCACAAACAGAGGTAATACTACATAAAATATGTATGTTAAAATGTGGTAATTTAAAAACAATAATCTGTGTTCTGTAGTATCTACACTTAATAAAAACGTAAGAGCTTATTATACACTGTATGCCTTAACAGGGATTGAGTATTTTATCCTTAAAGGAATATGGAGTCAATTATATAAAGCATCATTTATTTCATGATATATTAAAGAATATATGATATCAAATATGCTAGGTAAATAAAAAAACTTTTATTGATGAGTTTTATCATTAAGTGGTATTTATGCAGGATTTCACACCATGCCAGGCTGTAATAAAACATTATACCTGAACCGACGGTAGACCTTCTTCAGGTGCCTCATGCGACCAGTACCAGTGGTGTTGCGTCTTTTAGCCTTTGCACTCCAGTTATCTAAAACATACAAGCTACTGTCACTCTTTTGCATCAATTCATTAAGTTGCACATTACATTTGTATAACACAATTATCCTTATCTGTCAGAAAAAAAAGAGTAACTATAAAGTCGATTTCTGTGCAGTAATACTGCACATTAGCTAAAATATAGGTAATCAGAATTAGTTTAATAAACTCCAAACCCTGCAGGATGATACAGTATTCCTCCTTGATCAGAGACTACTGAAGAAGCCAAGTAAAAGCGTTGTTACTTACACTTTCTCTTACGCTTAGCAGGGTAACCACATTTTCCACAGGTAGATTTCTGCAGATGGTATGCCTTAGACCCACATCGGCGACACAAGGTGTGAGTCTTATTTCGCCGCTTACCGAATGACGATGTACCCTTCGTCTGGAAAGCATTTCAAGACACAGCATGTTGGGAATACCACCAGCAGTTACAGATCATGCATCTAGACAAGCAAGCTCTTCTAAAGACCAGAGCCCAATAATCACATCAGCAGCACACTGAACTCTGAAGCACCAGCTCAGTTTCGCCTAGAGGTTGCCTCCCATTTCTAGAGATCACTTCCTTATGCCTCCCGCCGCCATTCATTATGGCCTCCCCTCTGCCGCCCATATTCTGAAGTAACACTGAGTTGTCATCCCCAGCTGCCTTCCTGGCACCCCCAAGCTCATCACTAATGAACAATAAGCTGCTTTTTGCTTGAAGAACTACGATTTGCCTCCCGCAGACCCGCCGCACACTCACAAGGTCTGCCCACAGAACCTCCTCTTGCTGTGGTACCGCGCAGCAGGCACCCCCAGACTCCGCAGGAGACCACAGCGGCGCCCGGGCGGCTGCAGGGCCCCGCCACGGCCCTCCCACCCGAATGCGCCGCCCCGCGCCCCAGAAGCAGTGGCAGCGCGGTCCGCCGCTGGGCTCTCACGTCCCGGCTCCGCCAAACCTGCCCCTCCTCAACGCCCCGCCGCCAAACGCGGCCTCAGCAAAGCGTAAGGACGCCCCGAACATCACAGAACTCCCGCAGCCCCGCGAGGCCCCACACGAAGGCGATGGCGGCGGATACTCGGCGCCCGCGCCCCAACACTCACCATCTTGCCGCGCCACCAGCACCAAAGAGACCAAGCGCCCCCTCGCTTCCGCTAAAGCCCTATTACTGCTTCCGGAGGCGGGACAGTTGCGCGCGGCTGTGCCAGTGCTACTGCGGCTTGGCTGTGGGCGGGCTTCGTCTTCCCCCTGCCCGCTCCGCCCTGACTTGGCCTGGTGGCAGGGGCTGATCCTCATCACCGTTCCTGAAGGCCCTAGTGTCGCAGTGAGACCTGGGCGGTCCAGGCAAGAAAGCTCGGTTGCGGTGTGCCGAAGCCGTGGGCCTCGTAGTAGTAGCTGGGAGGTGTCTGTGAATATATATCTGCCTGGTAAAGAGAAGGTCAAATACACCCAAGCTGCCATACCGGCACATCATTTTTAAGTAATGCTGCTGCTCTGCACCTGGTGCCGATCAGACGTGCCTGGTGCTCTGCTTTATTCTGCAGAGTACTGGCCCTGCTTACACCTTCAGAGAAAATAATTTTAGTAAATGAAATTCAGGGGCAGAGCGTTTTTGGCTCTAATAATACACGTTTTCAAAGTAAGCTGTCTCAAATCAGCAGGGATCAGAGGGCTGCAGTACCTCTCCTATGAGGGAAAGCTGATAGAGCTGGGTCTGTTCAGCCTGGAGAAGAGAAGGCTCAGGAGACACCTTTTTTGTGGCATTTCAGTTCTTAGAAGAGGCCTATGAGGAAGATGTGTTATAAAAATCTAGCTGATCTGTTTTAATTGATTTTTATTATAATTAGTATCAAGAGACAATAAGCAGCTCCAGGTATGCCGGGGAGTCTCTGCTCTGCCCAAGACTCACACCGGGAACTTCTGGGGATAGTCTCATACTTTTTGGTTTCCCGGGCTTCTTGGGTTCCAGCCAATCCTGTTGTCTTCTTTTCCTGGGCTTCTTGGGTTCCAGCCAGTCCTGTTGTCTTCCTTGGCTTCTTCAGCCAATCCTGTTGTCTTCTTTTCCCAGGCTTCTCCACGTGTTGTTGGGGTCTTGTCTCTGGGTGAACAAATATTATGCCTATCACAAATCTGACTGCCCTCTTAGCCCCCATAAATTCCTCTCCTTATGTGTTTATTTGTTCAGCGTACAGATTTCACAACGTTCTGTAACAGGACATATCGCTAAGTTACCTACCCCCCCCCCCCCCCCTTTCCTAAGAACATTCAGGCAATTTAAACAGTGAACAAAACATTTCTTTGCACAATATTGCGGTTGACCCAGGGGAATTATTCCCTTGTTTCTTCTTCCTCCTCACTGTGGTATTGACAGGGACACTTATCATACCCTTTGCACATAGCACAATGATCACAAGGTATTCTATCTCCACACAAAGTGTGCAATGATCACTAGGACCCCTGAGTTGCTGACATGAATCACTCTGATATAACTCACAGATGCGAGGCTTTTTAGCAGAGCCTGTTACATTAGTATGAGGGATAATGGTTTTAAACTAAAAAGAGGAGAGATTCAAGCATGATATGAAGAAAAAATTCCTTATATTGAGGGTGGCGCAATACTGGCACAGGTTGCCCGGGAGGTGGTGAATGCACCATCCCTGGAGACACTCCAGGCCAGGCTGGATGTGTTTCTGGGCAACCAGATGTAGTTGAAGATGTTCCTGCTCATTGCAGGGGGGTTGGACCAGATGGTCTTTGAAGATCCTTTCAACCCAAACTGTTCTGTGATTCTACAAAAATAGGCAGTCTTCCTGCACTCTCTGCTTGTCCATGTCCCCCCAGGCTCCCCATGTGTACTGCAGTCTGCCTGCAGTCGAAAGCATCACAGTAATGAAAAGTCTGGATCTATTCAGATTCACCTGTCTCCTGTCACATGCCAGTCTATTGTGCACCATCAGCAGACTGACAATCTAGATGCAATTTTATCTTAGAAGAGTTCGTTTGGGGGAAAATAACACATACAGAGAGAAATTGAAGAAATCTGTTTTGTTTTTTTTTGAAGAATGTTGAAGATACATTTTCTTTTAATCACGAGTTAAACACCAAATTCAAAAATTGGTGATAAATTTATTTAATCCTTGATTATAGAATTAATCTTTTCTAACAGCTCTTGGTAAACATATATATTTGTCTGACATGCTAGATCTCACTCCTCACTCCTACTTCCAGTTTACTGACCAAAAATGCAGTTATTCCAAAATGTAGCTGTCCAGGCCTGCCACAGGCCATAAAAGTGTGGGGAACCCTGCCACAATGAACAGTGGGCAGTTGAAGCCCTGTAATGTGGTGCTTATTGTCCAGAATAAAGGATCCTCCCATCGCACAAGCTGCAGAGCAGTGAAACTGTGTCCAGCTGTTGCATTTCCACTCCTGGACAAAGCAGCCTTATACAGTTGTCTCAGTGTTCATTTATCCTCACTTATTTCCTGAGCGTGGAATCCCACTGCCTTTATATGCTGGGAGGCTTTTCTCCTCTGCTAGGGTTGAAGGATGGGACAAAAAGCCATTTTGACTGTAGCACCATTGTTTCCAGACACATGAAAGTGTGGCCCAGGCTGTTCCCTCAGTGGTTTTGTTTTGGTTGGTGATTTCTATCCCAGAAATGACACTGAAAGCAGAGGTCTTTGCTCATACTCATTTTAACAATTTACCTATCCATCAATTTAGTCCATCCATGGTCCCGCTATAGTTAAAGGAGAGAGATAAATGTTTCCAAAGGGTAAATCACCTCTAAATTAGGTGTCTAAAGTAGGCTGGAAAAATCACATCTGGGAGGAAGCCTTCTCCTTCCACTAATTCTAACAGGAGCCTAGACAGAGCCCTTAGGCTAGGCACATAGATGGCTGAAGTTAGTTAAAATGAGTTTTGCCCTGATTGACTGAATGAAAATATTATTATAGCAATTTGGTCTTTTTTGCCAAAAATCAGAAGAGAAAACTCAATGCCTATGAATGAAATGCCATACAGAAAAAAAAAAAAATAATCCCAATTAACTCAACAGTATGAATACATTCTACAGGCTGTACTGGAGTCATGTATCTCCCAGCAACTTTGCTGTGTGTCATTTAACTAGTGCTTTCTTTCTTATTAGATCTCAGAAATCTGGAAGATCCTGTGAAGACATTGGACAGATGCCATGGCAACAGCTTCCAAAGGAAGTGTGTTGGTTTGGCTGTGTGAAAGGATATGCTGCCAGAGGAATTATTCTTGTCCTCTGTGGGATAAAAATAATCCTATTCATTTACATGTCTTCAAACCAGTTAGGAAAGAAGAGTATTTTGTGTTTTCATGCAGTTGTCTTCAGTGTTAAGGAACACTGCATACTTTTAGTGTAGAAGATGGGCAGAGCTGTGGCTGACCCAGTACCATCGCAGAAGCTCTTAGTCCCCATGCAGTTCATGGGTGAGGACAGAGTTCATTGCCCATAGTGAAATCCAGAATGCTCAAAACCCACAGACTCATTTCCTGGCACCACTGAATGCACCAGCCTAAATAAAATCATGGAACGGTACTTAAAGATCATCCAGTTCCAATCCCTTGCCACAGGCATGGACACCTTCCACTTGACAAGGTTGCTCAAAGCACCATCCAACCTGGCCTTAAAACACTTCAGAGATGGGGCAGCCACAGCTTCTCTGGGCAACCTGTTCCAGTGTCTCACCATACTCACAGGGAAGAACTTCTTCCTAATAACCAATCAAAATCTCCTCTGTTTCAGTTTAAAGCACTTCCCCCTTTTCCTGTTTATGTACAGTGAGAATAGAATTTGCCATGGTGATAACAGTGTCTGGCCTGATGAGCAACATCACTTGGAAAAAACAGAGTTTGTATAAGCAATACATTCCTTACTAGCTACCTTAAACTTGGAAGGAGAGCTAAAGGACTGATAAAAGTAGAACACCTGCACTGGAAGGTGACCAAAACAAGTATGAGAAAATAAGCAGACAACAATAAATGGCAGTAGGTGGGTGAAAGGCAAAGGTGGCAGGGGGAAATTGTGACCACTGACTCAATTTAGCATCATTGCTGATTTTTTACCTGTTGCTAAGTAGCGCTTCCTCTGATCAAGGACTTTTCAGTCTCATGCTCTGCCAGTGAGGAGGAGCACAAGAAGCTGGGAGGAAGCAGAGACAGGACACCTGACCCAAACTAGCCAAAGGGGTATTCCATACCACAGCATGTCATGCCCAGTATATAAACTGGGAGGAATTGCGTGGAAGGGGATGATCACACCTCGGGGTGGGGTGGGAATTGGTCAGTGCGTGGTGAGCAACTGCATTGGGTTTCCTGAATTTTATTCCTCTTCCTCTCTTTTTCCTATTATTTCTAATATTGTTATTATATTTTACTTTGTT